TCTGACCAAAGTGTTCCCTTCCCTAAGACCTACTGCGCTTTGGGCTGCCTTTCCAGGAAGAAAAGTACAGCTTGCAGGTAAAGCTTTAATACCCAGAGGTATCACTCTAAGCCCTAACGAAGCATTTCAGAAGGCTGGTGGTTAATGTTTGATGGGCAGGGACCTTGGGCAGACTCAAGGTTATGGCTGACCAGAGTGCTACACCTCACCAGGAGCCCTCCGAGAGCACATTTCATCAGCACTCTGGTGACAACTGGACTGACGGACTCTCTAAATCTGAAAATTGTCTTCTAGAAGGATAAAGTCGCTGTGAGTCAACAGCTTTGCTGAGGTCTGCTTCCCATCAAGTCACGCAGTCAACAAATGTAAAACACCAAAGATATATTAAAGGGCAGGAATAGAACAAGCAGGGAAATTGAGAAAGGTTGCTTGATCTTGGGGAGAAGCAAGGGAGCAGGAGACCAGAGAGGAGAGGCAGACAAGGGAAGTAACAAAGTGCTTGGAAAATCAAGAAAGCCACAGAGTCAGATGACATCCTTACAGGATGTGATCCTGTGCCAATGCCACATGGCCCAAGCAAAGAAAATCCCATAGCAGACTCTCCTCCCCACACCCCCAGTCTCTCAATCACCTGGAGGTGCTCATTATGAGAAATGTTGGTATCTACCTCTGAGCTCAAGAGAGCTTTTCCCCATCCCAAGCCATCTTCTCTAAGCAAGTACTTTCCACTGGTTAAAATGCAAAGATTCCCCTTTGATTCTGTGCACCTTGTGAACACCTCTTCATCTCCTCTAAACACTGAGCTAATTTCATTTTCAGCTAGATCACAAGCCAGGAGTTACCTCGGTGGAGATGGTGGAGGTGAACTGTGAGTGGTCGTAGACCCACCCATACTGGCAGTCCTGGGTGACGGAGTCGTTGTCTGCTTGCAGAGAGGAATTGAGAAGTAGGTGAAACTGAGGCTGTGAGAACATCTCACAAGACCTGAAGGTGCCATCGGGCTCCCGGGGGATGCTGATGAGCAGAATTTCCTCCGTGGTGAGGTTCACAAATTCTTCCTGATGCGGAATTGCACAATGGTGAGAGGGAGTAGCAGCAAGAAAGTTGTGCAATAGGAAATGCATGGGAAGGTTGATTCTTGGGAGGCAGAGGATTAACAAAATCAAAATCTGAAATCTGCCAAAGCCACCAATTTCCAGTAAGAGATCTTCAAATTTCATCTTTCCTATAGAGTTTGCTCATTCAGAGCAGCTATGTACCAAGGAGCAGCAGCATGAGCTTGAAAAGTTGTCTCTGTCTTTGGAGCTCAGCTTCCCATGGCTTTTCATACAGCCACTTCCTTGGACTTTGAGATCTCACAGCAAGGCTTTCAAAAGTCACAGCGAAACACTCAATTTGGGGTAGAGCCAAAGAAATCATTGCAAGTCATTCCATGTGCATACACATCTATTTTAAGCAGATCCAGCACAAAGCACCTTTTTTTTTTTTTTTTTTTTTTTTTTTTTTTTTTTTTTAAAGAAAAGAGTCCTTTCCTCCTGTGGTGGTTTTTGAGGGGAAGAGCCACATTGGTAAAGGGCTGTGGGAAAAAAAAGCCATCACACATCATTGGTGTGGGGACATCACACTCTGCTTTCTCACGGGCCCCCAGGAGTGCAGTGGTGCCCCCCAGCATGGAGGATGCCTGTGAGCACCAAAGCCTGATTGCTGTGCATCAGCTGTGTTCTTAGTATGGCTTGTCTCAAGTCATGACCTGGGAGCAAGGGGTATGCAGAGGACAGAGCACCCAGAAGAGATGAGAAATGTGTCTCTGAATGGAGACCAATTGGTTGAGGATCAATACTACAACCCAATGAGGGACCTACAGCCCTCAGCAGGGCCAGAGGTACTGCTGCCACTGGGGTTTCACACCACGGCTCTTCCAGCACCACCAGAAAGAGCTCCTAGAAGAGACAGGTCTTCAATTTGCATTTCTATTCTTTGTGTGCTCTTAGCCAACACCATGGGCTCTTTATTCAGCCAGAGCCACTGCAGAGCAAGAACAAACCATGCATCTGAGCAGCTGAAAGTTAGTTGGAGAAACCTGTCATCAAAGGTCAAAGTTGACAAAGGATATGTACCACATGTAACTTTGAGTTCCATATTGCACAGTTGCTGGGCAAAAGCCTTGATGCAGCAAATGGGGAGGTGCAGCAACAGAGCTGGTGCAGCTTGGGTCACAGAAACAGCGTGGTTCAAAGGACAATCTCTACTCCATGAGACAGGGACAAAGAAGTCTCGCAGGTACTTCAAGTCAGTCAGGAGCTGCCCACCCTTCTCCCTGTCTGGTAGAGACCCAGCTGGAGGATCACTAGCACTTAGCACAGACAAAGGGCTTTGCCCCACAAACAAGCAAGCTCAGAGAAGCAGCAATATCAAGGCTGGTTAAACTGGGAGTTGGTAGCGAGTTCTACGTTTTTTCCCTACGTCTTCCCTCCTACAGCAGTCCTGTGGTCTTGAGTGTTCAGGGGTGCTGATGCAGGCAGGCACCTGCCCTGAGGGTGTACTGGGCCAGAGACCAAAGGGCTGCAGAGCAGCAGGTGGAGATAAGAAGCAGTTCTTAGGGCCTTTCTGGTTGTGGCTGAACGCTCAGGTTCAGGCTTATAAGACAAAGGATGGCATGCTGTGGCCTTAGGAGATCTTTGCTTGTCTCAGCAGCATTCCTGGTCATCCATGTTTAACTAACATGCTGCCCCAGTCTGCACTACTGAGTGTATCGGTGCTCATCTTTGGATGGGAGCAGGGAAATTAGGTGAGAGTGGAGCAGGGTCACCCGACAGCACCATCCTTCCAGGGTTACAGTTTAAACTCAAGTCGAACTAAAGGGCAAATCGTTTTTCTTCCCCACTGGTTTTCTAAAAGCAAGGAACAGGGATTCTCATTGATATGCTGTTGCATATTTTAACTGCAGAGCAAATCCAGCCTCCCCTTCAGAAATGAGGTTACAGTCCATTGCTCTGCAACCCCTGGAGCCCTTCTCTTCATACTGCAATTGCTAAGAACATGTTACTTGACTGCTGTATTTCTCTAACCCAAACATGTTTTCGTAGTGGGTCACTACATGTAGTTAATGGACTGCACGTACAACTGCTGTGACTCTGCCCTACCACTTGGCTCTAGACCCTGGACCTGTCTCGTGGCTTGGACCTGCCTCGTAGCAGCCAGATCACGCTGACTGCTCACATATGAAAACAGAAGCCTCATATCCATATCATTTTCCTCAGCAGTCTTTCTTCTCTGTTTCAGAAGGCCAGCTACTGGTGGAGAGAAAATATCCTTCAGTGGCCAACAGCAGCACGGCCAGAGGAGCTGTTGGAGCCAGGTCCATCAGCAACCCCAGACGCAGCCAGGGGATGAGCTGGGACATGGGCACAACCGGAGAGCCCAGTCTGGAGCAGAAGGGGCTGGAGACAGGGGACCCAGGCATTTAGTGGGCTCCTGGACCACTAAAGGGGCAGGTGAGGCTGTGCAGGGCAGTGAAGACACTTTAGTGTCCCTAATATACTGCAACTGAAATTAACAGCAGGGTTTTACCTCAAACAGTCACGTAATGCTGTTGAGGGAGCTTAGGGCAGGATTTAGTTTTGGTTAGAAAGTTATTTCTGGAAACCCTGTGCAGACAGTAAAGGTGTGGATGTGGAAGTACATAGTCACACACTTTCTTCCACTGAAGCAGGAGCTGGGCTGAGTGGCTGCCAAGAGTGATTTGTATGTGATGACAGAGCAAACAAAGTGAGGTCCGACACCCAACCTGGGGAGTTTCCCTTCCCATGTGGCTCACTGCATCCCAATAACTCCACAGCTCTGCTCAGCCTTCCCTTCCCTTCCTAGGCCATTCCCAGCTGGTCCTTACCTCAAAGCCTTCTCAGCCATTCATTTCAACTTCTTCAGACCTAGTCTTCTCAGACAGTCTTCGCAACTTTGCACCGTGTTGGTCTGCCCATCCATCTGTTCTGCCTGTGGCCTTCAGAGTACATCAGGGAACGTGGCTGTTGGAATGCTGCTCTTTAAACCTGCCTCCTAGCCCTTTCTCCATCAGCCAGAACCATGTAGATGACAATCACTTCAGCATTTCTCTGGAGACTGCTCAGATTTCATCTGCCTGTTCACTGATGTGGGCTTTGTAGAGCCCAGTGCTTCTTTCTGTGGATTTAGATTCTGCACCGAAGCCAACTAACTGCTTTCTGGGCTACGGGAGGAGGATTAAAACCTGTCATTGTAAGATCATCTTTCCAAAAGAGCACTTTTCTTCTTTTCTGCGCTCTGATTTTTCACAGTTCTTTAAAGCTGAGAAGAGCTGCAGGTGTTCTCCTGTCAGAAAAGTCAGCCTATTCAAAGGAGGCCAAGCTGCTGCTCCTCACTGCTCTTTAATTGGGTTATGAAGGGCTGCTTTATCCCAGCTGTGTGCTGGCGCCCTGCTGGGGCTGGTAGCTCCTATCTGTGAGAGATGCAGCTCAGTGTAAAGAATCAGAGGGGAAAGAGGGTGTTGAGGATATTTAGTCAAATGACATATAAGATTAGACAGGTGATATATAAAAGAAAGTGCCACCACATTTGCCTAACAATGTCAAGTTCCATAAAGTCACAGTGACTGCTACAAATTATATTCTTATCCTTTGGTTTTTTTGTCATCTGAAGCCTCCAAGCAAACACTCAGTGCATTAGACCATGATTACACCAGCTGGGAAATGTTACCATGTGCTCACGTGTTTCAATGAGGTATTTCAGCACTAGTCACAAAGAGGGGAGGTGTAGGTCAGATGTGAGGAGGACATTCTTTACTCAGAGGGCAGTGAGACCCTGGCAGAGCTGCCCAGAGAAGTTGTGGTGCCCCATCCCTGGTGGTGCTCCAGGCCAGGCTGGCTGGGGCCCTGGGCAGCCTGAGCTGGGGGGGAGGGGGAAAGGGGGGGGGGGCAAAAATTCAGGTGAATTCTGCAACACCAATAAATGGGAGAAGACACCAGTGAAAAGGTAGACAGGCTTTTAATGGCATGATCAAGAATCCCCCCGTTAATAATAAATCTAATGACAACTGTGTCTGGTATGAACAAGAAATGGCATCATCGTATATTCTTTTTAAGACGTGATCTGAAGGTATGAGCAATGCCAGGTGGATCTGTACACAGACGGGGCCTCTGTGATGCATGCCTGATTCGATGGCCAAGAAATTTGCCATGCAGTTGAACCGGATTGTGGTTCCTGGTCAGAGTTGTACATTCTGTTTGCAGTGTGTAAACATTCTCGAGCTGCTTTCCTAAAGAATGCAAAGGAGATATGTAGAGGTTCAGCCTTGGGACCCAGTCACGTTCCCAGACAGTACCAAAGAGCAAGAGTCCTGTCTCTGGGCCAAAAGGCTTTGTCGGACTGTGTTGGAGGTGAAGGAAATCAACGTCGGTGTGCCAGCTGTGATGTCTGAGTGTAGAGTCCCATGCTAATGTGTTAAAAGGAGATTTACAAAATTATCTGTATTTTCAGCTCCAATTCCTGTCCGGAGAAGCAGCAGCCCAGGTTGCACAGGACAGCAGTGTCCCTCACACCGGTTCTCATGCATGGGCTGGTTTAAAATGCGGACTCCTTGCCTAACCCCATGCCCTGCAGAGCTCTTCACACCACCTGCAGATGCCAGTCTGGGAGCCTCTGCCTTTGCAGCCATGTCCCCGAGTGCCACCAGCCCCTGCCTCCTCCTTGCAGCTGGGGTAGAGGTGAGGCAAGCTGAAATCTCAAGCCTTCTGCTCATTCTGGTTCAGGAGTTATAGGGAGGATGTGCTCACACCACAGTCCCTGCCAGGAACCCAGTGGATCTGCCATGGTAGCTCCCTTCCTCCTTTTAGCACAGAAGGCATCAATGTCTGCCTTAAGCCTCCTCTGCAGACATTTGCAGCTCCAGAAATAGAAGGGGAAATGCTCCTCATATCCCAGAGCAGCAGCCTGCAAAGGGGCCAGGTGTTCCTTGAGTTGTGCAGACATCCAGGACAGCTACGAAGACCCAGACGGGGAGGGACTGATCTGCAGGGGTCATAGAGTGACTGCAGACCAGATTTACTAGAGGAGGGAAGCTACAAATGAGGGGATGGGAGAGCTGTAGTGTGCAAATTGCTGCCACTTCGTAGTGTCCTGGCTGTGCCTGAGACCATGGACCAGCGCAGCCTGGAACCAGGGCTGTTTTCTAGCATCACAAAGATGCAAGACCCAAAGCTCATGCAGATGCTGTCAACTTATCTGAATGTCAGCTGGTTCTGCTTTCCTGCTAGCACAGTCCCAGCCCTTCAGTGGTCAGCAAGAGGCTGAGGGAGAGCAAAAAGCCATTTGGGGTTCTGCAGAGGACCCTGGAGCCAGCAAGCAGGGAGCACGTGGGCACCCACCCTGCTGTTGGTGACACAGCACACAGAAGAGAAAAGGACCTGAGCAGAAACCCAAGCTCTCCTCTTGTGTGCAGCTGCTGGGAAACAGACGTGATCACAGGTGCCCAGGTGGTCTCCACATGCTTTGTGAATGCAGCAGATCAAGCATGGGCACATTGCAGTGAAGCCAGAAGAAGCTCGTTGGAAACCAAACTCATCAGATCCACAACGGGACTTTTATTGTGTTTGCAAGATTCATTTGACTGCAGTTTGTGGATGCATGGAGCAAGGCCTCCAGTGGACATCCGTGTCCTTGCACGTGGGATAGTGGTGGGATCATGCCATGAGACAGTAAATTGTACAGGGAAGAAAGAAGTGTGCTAAGGGGCCACTGAGCTACTGCTGGAGCTGTTCAGGCTGTAAGCAGATGCGGAACCATCTTATTACAGAGATTTACACTGAGAAAATAGCTCTGTGTTGGAAAGGAGTAACACCAAAGACACTGTTACCCCAAGTAAACCACGCTTCTGTTAATGAAAGGCCACCACTCAGTCTCCAGACCCAGATCAATGCCACACAAGATGGTTATGACAGCTCGGATGGCCACCCACACCACTGTGTGTTGGCCCCTGGTGAGCAGAGCCTCACAGCTCCCGTGTGCTTCAGTGGTGGTACCCTGCTCCTCCATCTGCACCCACGGCACAGGGACAGCCCTGGACACAGCAGGGACACACAGTGCCTCTCTGAAGGCTGCAGGATCCTTTTCAACCTTTAGCCACAATATATAATGGGCACTACTTATATTATATTCTTATAATTTATATATATATATATATATAGTAATACTCTCTACTTAGAAAGGACAAGCCAAGTGTCCTGCCTCTTGCAAACCCCAAGCACGACCCAAAAATGTCTGTCACTGAAACACCTTTTGCACCAAGACAAGCCAGTGTCCGTGCCGCCAACCAAAGCCAGCTTAGTGTCTCCAGCCACGCGTCTGTGCCCTTCCGTGACACTCTCTTGACAGTCCCTAGTGCTCTTTTTGCTCATACAATCCACTGTCATATTAGCTTGGTGCTGAGAACTATCCTTCAGACCCACCCCTAGCCACATCATCTTGTATCAGCCATCTGCCCTAACAGAACAACCCCTCAAACATGATCTGCTGCATTTGACCCGACTATGACAGATGCGCTCCTGGCTTGTGGGGCAGAGAACAGGATGAGAGACCCACAGTTCCCAGCCCCTTTTGAAGGACTCTTTTCATGGGAAGTATCACCAGCAAACTCTCCTCTCCAGAGAACCAAGCAGCCCCAAGTGACAGCAGTCCCTGGGGTCATGCTCACTTCTGAAGGGCAGAACTTTGAAAATCAGAGTAAACAGACCCAGAGCAGCTTTTGTATGGCAGAAGCTTTCCAGAGTGTCCCTGCCAACACCTGGAACAGAAAGCAAGTGTCCTGGTTTGGGCTGGGGTACAGTTAGCTCCCTTTGTAGTGGCTGGTGTGGTGTCGTGTTTTGGATTTGGTTGAGAATAATGTTGATAACATACTGACATTTAGTGGCTGCTGAGCAGTGCTTGCACGAAGCCTGACTCTTTGCACTGCCAAATTTAGCAAATGAGCAAATTATTTTAATCACTTGACTGAATGAACTCAGCACTGAAGCTCCTGTAAAAAATAATCTCAGTAAAAAATAGTACAGTGAAGGACAGTAAGAGGCAATGTGAAGCATTTTACCTGTAACATCACAGCATCATTTGCCACTGGGAAAGGGGACAGGTCTGGAGCTCCAAGCCTGTGGGACACACGGGGACAGCCAGGCTGTGCAGGAACAACCTTGGGAGCCTGTCAGTGGCAGCAGCCAGCAGCTCCTGCTCTGGCTTTCAACCCTGCTGCAGCCAGACAGCTCTCAGTGCCAATGGACCTGATGACTCAGGATAGACAGTGCAGGACAGTACTACAGATCCAGCTGCAGCATCAGCCCAGCCCTATCACACAACATGGAGACAGGCTGCTGTCTCCCATGCTGGAAATCATTCACTGGCATTCTTCTTTCAGATTCCTTTTTGACATGGTACAGCTGGGCCATGGACAATTCTAATTTAAACTTTCTCTTGAACAAATACAATAATTGTGCTTCACTGGCCTCCCATGACAAAATGGGTTTGCTAATCCTGCAAATAGCCCCATAGCACTCGTTTCCTGCTCCTTCGATGCCTTTTTGGCATGTGCATGTAAGACCTGGATAAAGTATCTGGTAATGGCTTCACTGTCAAAATCTTATTATCTAAGCACTCTAAAATGAACAGTCTGCTGACAAATTAATAGGAGTGCCATTACCATTTATATTTCCAGAAAGAATCTGTGTATTTGGGTTTATTTTGTTTTCTAGTTTCAAAACTCTCAGGACATATTTAGGCTGCAGTTGGACCAGACTCCAAACTCACATGAAGTCATTGTGCCCGCAGAAGAAGTAGTAGAATTTACTATCTACTCTTTCCTCCACTTTTGGCAGAAGCATTTGTGTGATCAAATGCTGAACCTGATGGATGAACAGATGAAAACTAACCCAGCAAACCAGAGCACTTGTTGTCACACTGGATCCCTATCTCCAGCCACCTTACTGAACAGCTGCCCTAGGATACGGGAGGGGACTGCAAGTTGGAGGGACCACTGTCATCATTGGTTAAGTCATCTCAGTCCCTCAAACCACAACCTGAGCGTGGAATTCTCAGTGCCCCTCTGCAAATATGAGAGCTGGGATTTGTTCTCGGATGAGAAGCTCTGCTTACTCTACAAGGGTGAGTGACTTTTAAGGAAAACACCAAACGTTTTGAACTGTATGAAATAAGTTCCTAGCATTGTCAACACTGGAACTGTTGTGTAGAGAGGTAAGTCCCATCACTTGTTTTCAGACATTTCCCTGTTCTGATGTCCCAGGAGTATCCTGTTCTCCCTGCCACTCCGTCACAGCTCTCATGATCCATGCACGTTCCTGTAGAACCACTCTGAAACAGAAAGTTGGGATTCCTTGGACTGGATGACCATGAATTTGACTGTAAATACATTCGAATGAGTCAGTTACTACCATAGGATTCTTCCATCAAGCTTTTTTGTCTGCAAATCTTTTCTGAAGCTGCTAGTTGCAGCTGCAGGAGTTGGGTGGGCAGAGCAGCCATTGTTTTGTTCTGCCTTATGCAAAACTTCTTTTAGGTGTGACAGTGGCATGAAGCCCCAAGGATTTGGGTCTATATTGTTTCCCCCTGTGCAATGCAGGGAAGAATTTGTGACCATTTCAAGATCTTATCAGGCTCTGGCAATTATCAGTCCTCCTGGCTTGAATTTTCAAACCACCCTAATTAACTGGGTAGCTAAAAAGTTGGCGTGCTAAGTGAGAGCTAAGCTTACGTTTTGGTAATATTATTTAAGAGCACAGCCCTTGCTTTTGTGTTCACATTGTTGGTTGTTAGGCAATGTGTGGAAGAGCTGAGCACGAGAAGGACACAAACCCGATATCCCGATGAGAAATGCACAGGATACCCACAGCATACCAGCAAAACTCTCCTTGCAAAGCAGCAGCTTTAGAGTATACTACAGGATAATTACTTCCCTCCTGCTGAGTAAGGGAACCTTCAACGACAGTGCCAAAATTCACAAACACCAAGAACGTGACAATAAAGCACAAGGAATTTAGGTGCAGGGGGCACCCGAGCTGAAGGCATCCAGTGACTATTCACATCTTCAGGATGGAGCTGTGTTTGGGTGGCCTACAGAACTGTGGCACCAACCACACTCAGGCTGAGAGGAACCACCCATGTCAGAAGATGTGGTTTCCACAGGTCACAGTTCAGTATCTGAGACAGAAGTGGCTGCAGAGTGCTCCCTTCCACAGCACATGCTAGTGCTCTGGATTTCCCAGCAAGCTGCCCATACATCCCTACTTTCAACTCAATACCTGCCCCACAAGCGGCTGCTGAAACAGCTCTGCAGGACACCCTGGAGCAGGCAGGAGCATCTACAAGGGCAGCCTTTGCCCCACTCCTGCCTGCAGAGGCCCTTGTGGAAAAAGGAGAGCAAAGCTCCTCCAGCCCTCTCCTGCCCTTTTCTCAGCGCATGACAACACACCCATCACTCTGAGCTGGGCTGGTGACAAGCCCTCACTAACACAGGTTGCAGGAGAGGAGCCAACACTCAGCCGTTGGCAGCCAGGGCTGGTGTTTTCCCAGCAAAGAGAGAGCAAGGGCTGCCTGCAGGACAGGAGCCTTCCTCCCCAGCAGGCTCTCAACACTTCCACTCCTCTTTCCAAAGCCAGGGTCAGTATTGGCGACAGGTATTGCCAACAGAGAGAGGGGATTGCCTGGGGAGTAGGGGGTCAGGCACTAGGCAGGCTGCCAGGGTCGCTGTGCATTAGCAAGCGTGAGCTGCGGACTGGATGTTTCCCTCGAAGAAGGCTCTGTGGCTCAGAGGCTCTCAGGCCTGTGGGAGCTGATCACAACTGTGTGGGGTGAGAGTGAGTGAAGCATTGAAGTACAGCTACTGCTATACACTCGTGGTTCCGGCATGGAAGGCTGTGCTGCAGCATCTCAAGTGTATACTATATGCAGAAGTTACCCAGTCTGTGGGTTGGCAGAAGGTCATTATCTGGCAGCTGCCTTACTTTCCAGGGACACCTGCTTTCCTTTGGTTGCTGGACTCTGAGTCTGGGTTTTTCCTCTTTGCCGTTTTTTGGCCGTGCCGGGAGAGGGCAGGGAGTCTCCTGTTGGTCCCAGGGCCTGAGCCTGGGGCTGAGGTCGGGGGGAAGGTGGAACTCGCTGGAGAGCAGTCCCTGGCTTATGCTGCCTGCAGGGAGAAGGGTTTTCCCTCCGAGGCAACAACTGGCTTCTTGGGGAAGCAGTGGGGGTTTTGGAAGGAAGGACAGGGCTCCGAGGGGATGCGTAGCTGGACCTCTGTGTGCTGCTTCGTGGAGGAAGAGATGTGGAACTTGGTGAAGGAGGAAGCCGGCTTTGTATCTGCATTGCTCGGTAGTCGTTTGGGACACTTGCAGCTGCTCTCTGTGCCTGGAGCCTACAGGGAAAGAAAAGAGGGCGTATGAATAGGAATTACTGCAGGAGACTCTGGGCTCCTGGCAGCTCTGGCATCAGTGCTGCTGGGACAATTACAAGGAATCTCTAGCATCATGTGACAGGAGTTATATTATGAATAAGCTGGGGTAGTGGCCTCAGCGTCATCCCATAACAATGCTGTTAAGCAGTAAGTGTGTTCCCTGATTCACCAGTACCCTATGGGACAACATTCAGGCATGGTTTAGCAAGGCACACTCCTTTGGAATCTTCTTAACATGCACTGTGAATGCAGCAACCTCTTTTAAGGTAGGCAACACAGTCTGAGTACTAGAGCATCATTTAGGCTCTGAATAACTTCGCTGGAAGATAAATAGCTCATAGAGATCATGGCCCTTCACCTGAATCTGAAAGAGTACAGGGATATGTGAGGAATTTAGACTGTGTGGAAGTGGCTCAAACTCCTCCAGGTCACTGACACTGCCTGTATATATGCGCATCCCTCTCTCCAATTCTTCTGCTGATGCAGTCACAACTTGTGATGCTTCAGCCCTTGCAAGCCTAATTGCAATTGCTAGGCCCTTTAGAGTCAAGGACTTGGTGAACATGCTGCTGAATTGAGAGCCAGGGATCAGACCAAATGAAAGAATTCATAGAAGGGAAGAAGGTCTCAATGCCAGGACACATGAAAAAGGAGTTGGCCTTTTGACCAGACTGAGCCAAAGAGCACAAAAGAGGTGGGAATTTTATACACAAGTGATCTGAAGTGAATATAAGAAAGGGGAATGGACTGCACATTCAAGTCAGGCAAAGAGTAAAGGAGTGCGAGGTGAGCGCAGCTCCCACTGCGATTCCTTCACAGGTCCAAACTTTGCACTGCTCAGCGTTTTGGGCTTACCTGTAGGCAACAGCCGCATCCTGCTGGGAAAGCACTGCCATCACAACGGCTGTGGAGCTCTCAGACTTCATTGTCTCTAGCGGTGTTTTCACAGGTGTGATGGGCCGAGGAATTCTACTCCTTGTGCTTATGAGTTTCTCTTCTCTCCCCAGGAGGGCAGCTTTCTTCCCTGCCTTTCTTGGGATGGAGTCATCAGAGTCATGGGTGTCCTCCTCAGAACCAGTGGCTGACAGGGTTTCTGAAGCCCGCCGCCTCTCGTCACTGGAGGATGCTGAGGAGGAGGCCCCCGAAGCCAGCCTAAGGAGGCAGTTTTGTCTCTTCTCCATCACTAAACGAGCCAGATCAGGTTGCTTTGCCCTCTTATAAAGCCTCTCTTTGGCTGAGAGTGAAGTTGAAAGATCTGAGCCAGTGTCCTCCTCAGAGAATAAAATGGGGATCCGACTTCTATACCTGGAGCCCAGAGGTCTCCTGGGGCCCTGCTGTGGAGCATCAGGGAGGGTCTCTGCTGGCTTCAGGTGTTCCGCTACCGATGCTGGCTTCTCAACGTCAGGCTCTCTCGTGACCACCTTGGCAGACTCTTCCAAATCCAGCGAGAGTGCCACATTGTCAGAGGACTCTGCTTTATCCTCAGGAGGCTTTGCTACATTGGGGACTGACAGCTGCTCCCCCACTGTTTCTGAGGTGGTTTCAATGGGATTAGCAGAAAGTGCACAGCTCTCTGTCTCTGCCCCTTCTAATCCCGAATGGATGCTTCCGTTCTCTACCAACGCCAGATTGTCTTCCAGCTCCTCTTCAATAATGACCTCTTCAAACTGTCCCGGAGGGCAGTATTCCTCATGCCTCATCAGCTGGCCGCTGGAAGACATGACATTTAGGTGGGTCTTTTCTGCTATGTGAACAAATGTGCGCTCGACTTTGGTAAATGGGGAGGAAGCTGTAGCCACTGCCACGGGAGGCTTTGGTTCAGATTTAAGGACTGAGGACAGGGTCCCTGGCTCAGACACGTCTAGTTGGCTACCCATTGGCTGCGGCCGTTCGCTCTGAGGTGTCAGTGCAGCAAGTGTCCCCAGATCAACTTCTGGAGGCAAGTCTGTGGTCACTGGAGATTTTTTCAGATCACCTGGTGAAAACAGCACCAGTGTTTTTGAGCCCTCCTCCAGTTCCAAGTCCCCATCAGCCATGGAAGCTCGACCCTTGGATCCCTTCTGGTCATCAGCCAGGAGAGTGGATGGTGCGCACTCCTGGCTGCGCTCTGTGCTTTTTTGACTCAGATCACTGCTGGAACCACTGTGCATGTCAATTTCATCCCCTTCCTCCTCCACATCCTCTTCATCTTCTTCCTCATCTTCATCTTCTTCCTCGTCCTCTTCCTCCTCCTCTTTGCCATTCATTTCCAGGTAAGGCTCCAGGGGTTTGCAAGGAGCAGTCAAGACAACATTTGAGAAATCAACTCTCTTTATCCGCTGGGATAACTTAGCCTTTTCCCAGTACTCTAACATGTCTTTTCTGAAGTCTTGATAAGGCAAACTTAAAGGCACTGCCTTGGGCAGACCATTCATTTCAAACGACTTCAGTGTATATGCCTGCCAGAAGACAAATGAGACAGAAGGAAAAGGTTAGTATTCAGACGTAGCACTGACACAGAAGTCATTGGCATCAAAGGCAGTGGGAAACATCAGTGGAAAAAATCTAAACCATCACGATTCCAAAATATACACTAGAGTGGTGATCCCTCAACCATTAGATTAGTACCAACCTTAGAAAAGATAGAATCATAAAGACACGGATCAACAAAGGCAAAAATCTTGATGAAGGAGTTCCTTCGTTAGCATTTATTTACCTGTATTGAAAGAATCCCTTTTAGCAAGCAGTTCTTGAGGATTTTTTTCATGTCTCCCAGTCTTCTTCAGTATCACCTATTTATGTCAGTACCTGTATAGTTATATATTCATACCTTCCTTACTAGAACCATTCAGCAACTCTCTTTTATGCCCAGGCCACAGAGCACTTATAGGCCTCTTCTGAGGTAGACAATTTCCTAATCACTTCAGAGTACCATCCAACTTTGTCCCACAGCAAAAACCTTTATAGATCTTCAGTGCCTCTTGCTGTATTATTCACCACTCTTTTCTGCTTTGGTTTTATTTCCAGCAACTTCTAGTTCTGTTTTCTACAGTCTTCTGCTTCCACTGAAATGATCAGCAAGTAAGTCATGAATGCTGATTTATACCGTATTGCTATTAGACTTTGGTGTATCCAATCATTAAAAGCAGGGGGAGGATGGAACTGTTGGCTGAGACAGCGTTTCTCAAGCTGTAGTCTGTTGAGGTCAGGCTGTCCATAAGGCTACAAGGAGCAGTCTGTGAAATGACTGAAAATAAAGCCAGCAGAAAAGCAGTGCTTCACACGCATACACACACTTGACTGAACAGCAAGAAGAGGCAAAATAAATAGGAAATGCCTATCAAAGTTTAGTTCTATCAGCAACTGGTTGTAAGTGAAAACCACAGGAGTAACACTCTGCAGAAAGGATCTTTTATAAGATACATATGTCACCATTCAGGTAAGAGGGCTGGGAAACTGAAGCCACTCCGTGAACTCAAGCAGACAATAACACAACACATTACATTTGGGAAGTCCTCACCACAAACAGGAAGGCTGCAAACATCTGCTTTTTCAAGTGGCATTTGAGAGAATCAGAGGATGTTCAGGCTATGCAACTGAACAAGCACCCATTTAACTGTGTGGGATACACAGCTGCCAGTGGCTAGGTGTGTGAAACATATAAGATCCTTATGCTCACATGCAACAGGGACATTTCAAATGGAACCGTGGGTAGCTCTGAGCAATTACACATGGTGATAGGTTGTTTTCCAGAGATGAAGATGGCACTCATTCTTCAGTACTGCTGGGTTCAATTGCGTTTTGGTTGTTTGGTCCCAGCGAAACTTACTCCTCACTTCTCCTTTCTTATTGACAAAGTCTGCCTGCTACTGTCTTCATATTTCTTTCTGTCTTATAAATTAAAACACAGGCTGGCTCCTACAATGCCTTTGGCCTCCAAAGTTTATTCTCATCTCTTCCTAAAGCAGGAGCCTGGCCCTGAGGATGGTCTTGTAAGAACCAGACTTGGGCTTTCACTGCGGAGTGCTATCTCTTGTATCAGGCTGACAGATGTAAAGCTTTGACTGTTTGGATGGACCTACTACCTTCTTCAAAGGAAATTACCCACTTGGCTTCCTCCCTCTTTTCCTCTGGAAAACTTTCTGGAAAACAGTCCTGCTGGATGGATTTGGTCTTCACAAGAAATACATACATAGTAGAAATCTCCTCATTCCTGGAATCCTGATCAAGCAGGCATACTTCCCCAGCCTTGGGACTGGCTCTTAACATAACAGCTCTGCTCAATGTCTTGCCTTGCACAGGTCACTCACTGCTCTATCTCACCCTGCTGTGGTTGATGGTACAGTTACAGGATCACTGGTTTCTCTTTGCATATGTAAAACTTCAAATGTCCTCTCTTGGGAGTTTCTGACATCTCATCTGCTTTCTGGTCAAGGGGAACTGAATCCAGTCCTGCAGCGCACGTCCTGTATAGGCCAGAGATGCTCTGCAGTCCATTCTGCCACCAAGCTCCTCTGTTGGCCAGTCAGGCATGAGACCTTTTGCTACTGGTGCAGCCTGGCATCTCGTCTGGTGACCCAGTGATCTCTGTGGCTCATCACACACCTCTGTCCCCTTCTGGCTATCATTTCTTACCAATAAGATGTCCTGTACTCTACTGCCACTTTTTCAATCTTGAGTCATCCTAAGAGCTTTTGAGATTCATCTCATCCTTTGCTTGTAGCTATTATCTCAGCAGCTCTGCAGGAACATTAGCATATCCAATGTGTGCCGTGCACACGGTGTACTGTTTTATGAAGTGCTTCTTTCTTTAACTGTTCTTTCTTTTGCAAGACAGCAGGGTTGGGTTTTTTTGAGATGATTGTTTGAGGCATATATATACATATGGTATATACACGTTTTTGTTTCACTGCTAAGCAGTAAGGTATAACAGTGACATTGCTATAATATAAATTACAGTTCTCTCTTCTGCTCTGGTTATTTTTTGCTATTGGTGAGTCATGCTGCAGATACTAACCTCCACCTCTGCCTGGAGAAATGCCTTGTGGAATTCAGCATGTGGACTGTCTTTCTGCCATTTCAGTTTCTGTGTATTTCTATTTCCCTGCCCAGATATTGCCATGATGCAACAGTGATTGTTTGGCTTCTACCTACCTCTGGGAGACTTGGGCTATTCTATCTATGGCATACCCTACCCCAACACTGGCAGAACTCATTCCTCAAAGAAGCCTGAGACTGTGGTCATTTTGCCACTGCAAGCTCATCGTGGAGCAAATCCAAAGAGCGTAAATATGCCAAAAATGACAGACAAAAGTTATGCACAAATGTAAGTAAAAGAAATTTCGCTAAGATGAGCCTTAGGTCAAATACATATTTTCTTAACTACTATCATCATTTGTAGCTATTAAGAAGGAAGACAGTCCTAAGGCGTCACTCTGAGATTGTCTTCACTGTTGAACTGATGTGATCAGCAGCCATCTACCAATGGCCATGCTGCTGAACATGCTGCTCCTACTCTGAAGCCCTCAAAGTGTCCTCTGTTACATACCACGTGTCTTTTGTACTACAGCAGGCTCACTTTCTCTATCACTGTTCCTGAGAGGCTGGAGAAGAACTTCTCTGCTCTGTTGTACCAATGGAAAGAATATGTGGGAAGATAGTGGAAGATCAGGAGTAGAGAGGCTTACTGCATACCGCACACTGCATATGCACTGCTAGCTGGAGGGAAATGCCCAGTGTTAAAGCTGAGAGCCATGTACAAAACGCTTTCTGCTGGCTTTGTAGATGTTAAATTGTACACGCTTAAGCCTTGCCAGTTCAGATGCTGGTTAATGTCAAGCCAGAGCTCTAAACACATCAAAATGGGGCCAGATGCAACCTGTTCTGTGATATGACCAGATGTAAAACAGTGAAATTGGTTCTAGCCTAAACTTACCTAAACGCAACTCCCCATGTGGCCTTCCCAAAGTTCACGAAAACTATCCTCAACAGTCACAAGACCTTGGTTTTTTTCCCCAGATCCAACCTCACTGCAAGTTTTCAGTGATCACATTAGCAAATGACCGTAAGTTCTACCATCGCTCCTCTACCTCCCAGCCCTGTGCTCCCACATACCTACCCAAGGCTGAGCAGGGGACACCCTCCCATAGCTGGGAAGCAAAGGGAGTAGAAAAACAAAGCAAGAAAGCAAACAAAAAACCCAGCCGTCACCAAGGTGCTGCCTTTGATTCTTTAATAAGGTTTTGGTAGTATACAAGCTCTTTTTTTCCGATTGTCTGGATTAACATACATGGATTTAAAAAAGGCACAAAATCCATTGCACAGCTTTCTGTTTTGTTTTTTGATTTCATTGCCTGTTTGTCGTGGTTTCAAGTGTAGGATTTTACAGTACTCTGCAGCATTTACAGCATGGTCTACATACAAGTAATCAATGCATGCTTTTATACAGGAGACAGAATTCAAATTCTCTCTCAGTATGTCTATATACACAATAATACAGTGCTTTTCTTCTGAAAAAAGCTTTAAGTTGGTCTTGCATGCTTGGTGTGCCAGAAGAATTAGTGCAAGCATATATTACAGTGTTATTGCAGTACAAAAAAGGGTTGACATTAGGCTCCAGAGGGATTAAATACAGAAAGAATAAAAAGACTCAGGGAAAACAAGCTTTGGATCCCTTTAGTCAACTACATCCTTCACTTGATCTCTACTCAGTACCACCTTTAAAGCTACAGCAGCTGCTTCCTCTCCATCTCCCTGCTGCCCTCCCCCTGAGATGAGCTTCCACAGCTTCTTCACACCTTCTCCCTAGCAGTTGGTGAGGGCTTCTGGCAGCTCGAGGAAGCCCTTTCTGCAGGGCTCCTGATGCTGGAGTCCAGCACAAAGAGGACTTTCCTGAGATCCACTGCTTCGAGCAAACTCAAGTCCCAGCAGATGAAGCTTCTCAAACAAAGCAGGAAGTACAAGAGGTTACCTACAGATTTTGCCTGCTCTCAAGAGAAATGACTACAGAAACCCACATTCACCTCCTAACTGAAAATCAGCGGTTAAATGTGGTTTGGACTCTCTCCTGCTTAGCAGCAACAGAAGTCTAACAGGTGACACAAGGTAATGCAAAGGAAGGATATGCTGGTCCCTGAGATTCTTCATGCGAGCTGAGAAGTCCAAGAAGCAGAAATCAAATTCCCAACATGGTATCAACTGTTCCGTTGGGACTGGGAAGAGGCCTTAGTCCTGAGAGATGCAAATGGCACACAGACAGCAACAGCTATAGTCCAATCTTCCCCTTAACAGCTTTGATTTGGATTCTATCAGGAACGTAGCATATCCTGGAAGTGACATTATCCTCTGCCAATACAGTCTAAACTTGTTTGGGACTGAGAGACCTGATGGGATATAAGATGATGAGTGGAAAAACTAGAATCTGAGTTTCTGAAGCAGCTTTTTCTTCCAGCCAGCAACA